CTGTCCAATTACATAGTGTTTCTTAAAAAGGCAATAAAGATAAAAAAAAAATTTATAACGGGGTCTACGGAGAAAATCTTTGGCCGAGCCTAATAAAGCTCAGTTACCCCACATTAAATTAGCCTTGTACCACATCTGACCGCGTGAAGCGGTAGGCAGATATCCTGCAGTTGGAAATTCGTCTCCAGCTGTGTTGGTCAAACTCTCTGCCTATTGAGCAGAGATTTCAATCAGACGATGCTATGTCGAAGGCAGAAAGTCTCGTCTATTGGAATACAACAAACCCGACCCCGTTATATACGGGGTTTACGGGGAATTTTTGGCCGAGCCTACGGGCTCATTTACCCCACATTAAATTCAGCCTTGTACCACATCTGAACGCGTGGGGCTGTTGGTAGATATCCTGCAGTTGGAGATTCATTGTGGAATTCACTTGACTCACTTCTAGCCGTTGACTAATTCTACGCGCCGCTGGCGAATCTTATATGTGTTGTTCTTGTCCTAAGTATTATCGTTCATTACCAACTTTCGTTTGATTATTCTATTCAGTAATCTTCCCTGGGTTACATCAATGTTGATGCAGCTATTTACGCCTGTCTTAAATAGTAAGTCCGATCAGATTTCAAATTGTCAAAAATGACCGACAATCTGTCGTTAACTGGGGCAAGGAGTGGCATTAATTTTAACGTAAATAAAACTTGAAATTCTCTTTTATTTAATTGAGAGAATAGTTGTTCTTTCAGTATGGAAAAATCTAACCTCCGGTACAGTGACTCATTGCGCCTTCTCGGACTAATGTTTTCCGCTGACATGAAGTGGAAAGAATATATTGAATCAATTGCTAAGTCTGCAGCTAAAAAGGTTGGTTCACTGTGTCGAACAAGACAATTTTATCGCCAGAATCTATCTTACTTATTAATAAGTCTACCATTCGTCTTTGCTTTGAATATTTCTACTAGATCTGGTCTGTTGCTCCTGTTATATATTTAGAGATTCTTGATATAATCCAAAGAAGAATCTGCAGTGATATTGGCCCTGACCTGGCATCTCAGCTTCCGTCATTTTCACACCCCCGTAACGTAGTTTCCTTATACCTTTCTGCTACATACCGTACGTATGAACACTAATGGGTATGTCCCAATCCTCCTAAATACGTTGGACACTATTGTTAATATGCTGTCTAAGTGGTCCACCCCTAGCAGTGGTTTACCTACTTCACGCCGCTGGCGAGTATTGTATTTTTTTATAAAGATTACTATTTTATTTCCAACCTTTTGGTTATTCCTCATCCAGTAAGCTTTTCTAGATTACAACAATTTTACACTGATTTCTGTATTATTCTATATTTTGTAACGGTTTCTATATTAATCTATATTCTACTATGATTTCTATATTAATGTATAATTTAATATGATTTCTATATTAACCTATAATTTACATTGGTTTCTACATTATTCTATATTCTACTCCGATTTCAAAAGTGTTCTATATTTTATTTCGATTTCTATATTATTCTATATTTTTATTATATTCCGTACCTATGAACAATAATGGGTATGTCCTAATCCTTTTAAATACGTTGGACACTATTGTAAGTGGGGGGAGGGTTATATGCTGTATAAGTAGTCCACCGCTAGCAGTGGTTTACCTACTTCACGCCGCTGGCGAGTATTGTATTTTGTTGATGTTATAAAGATTACCATTTCATTTCCAACCTGAGTTTTGGTTAATTCCTCATTCTGTAACTCTTCCTCGGTTACAACACTTCTATAAATACTTAAATGATAATTGTTCTAATGAACCTTCCTCTGTGGTACCTAGACTAGAATGACTTTACTGAAATGACTAGAAGTAACCGTAAGTTCTATGCTAACAGGTCCTTCTATCGCACGTCCGGCTTTTTGCTTTCCTATCAAATTTGATCTCCAAAAATGTAAATGCAATGTCACTTGTTATCTTCTCCCTTTATTGCTTTCTCTCCTTAATAGTATATTTTTTCAAATTCTCTAACACTCAGTAATTCCTTGCGTCTTAGTGGGTTTATTGCCTTTCTGGGAGTGAAATGATTAAAAAGATAAAATAGCCTTGTCTACACTATGCGCACAAGGACAGTATCTATTTACTTATATTTCGTGGGTGTTGTTACTAGATCAAATCTATCTATCTATCTATCACTGACAACATTATCTATCTATCTATCTATCTATCTATTAATCACTCACTGTACATTATCTATCGGTCTATTTATCTATCTATCACTGACTGTACATTATCTATATGTCTATCTATTTGAACTTGCTTCAAGAATGAATTTGTATGAGTTGTGAAATCATTATCTAGCGATACATCTATTGATATATACGCTATGAAACAATTCATGAGTTCTGACTAGATCATACCCCCCTTCTATCTATTAACTACTGACTATACATTATCTATCTATCTATCTCTGACTGTACATGTATGACATATTATCTATCTCTGACTAACATTTTATCTATCTATCTACTATATATCTATCTATCTATCTATCTATTCATATAAGCATTACATATCTTAAGTAGTAAGTCAATATATATTTCATTTCAGAGACTCTTCATTCAGACTAACAATATGGACGTCGCTTCTCTACATCAACCACCGGTGTGTTGTCGTTTCCTACAGAAAGAGTCTGTCAAGCTTTAGATAAAAAATGGCGAAGCTCGAGCCGTTGCCTGGCATATTTTCGACAGAGTTTGGAATGTTGGTCACAGATTGAAGGGTTATTGTGTTTGCGACCGTTTAAGAAACCGACAAAACGCTATTATGGGGAGAGAGAGAGAGAGGGAGGGGTGGCAACAAAAGACCAAAATTCAAGGGGGCATATTTTTTATTTGATTCAGTCCTTCTTATCAAACCGCGTACTGAAGGTCATCTTTTACGGCCATTCCTCTATATCATTTTGCATGCTTTTGGCACAACTATTTAATAAGCAAGTCTGCTTCGAGAAAATGAAATTCGCAGCAATCTGTTGAGAGCCACATATGAGTGTTTGGAAGTTGAGTTCCGCACCCAGTTCACCTGAGTAAAGCAGGGTCGACCACTTCGCTGCAAAGGTACTACTACTGACCATATATACATAAACATGCATTGATATTTTACACTGGACGTCAGAGTAAATAGTTCGTAAAACAGGTAAACCTCGGGTTACGTCGTTTTAAGTTAAGTCGTTCTCGATTATACACCGTTTGTCAAAAATTATATGGAAAAATAAAAATCAAGTTTAATTCATTTTATTCGACATTACGTCTGTCTGCTACAAATATTGAAATCGTAATATCACTAGAAAAGTGTTAAAAGCACATAAAATCATGTTACTGTACAATAAATAAGAATAAAAGTATATAAAATCAAATTAAAATACGTACATTTACAGTAAATGCTAATATAATCATCTTAAATCCGAGAGAACTAAATATGAAAACATCTGTGACTCTGAGTTGTATTATTTAGCGGTCTTTAAGAGCTCAATATTGGAGTTTTCCACGGTAGTTCCAATATCTACCGTTTGGCGTCGTTGACAGCACTACTCGTAATTTCCGCAAAATTGATATCTAGTTTAGTTTAGACATACGCGCAGTATACATCTGCTTATCGCCTACTCTCTCATTCTTATTTATTTGTCACTTTCTGTTTTTGCCCAATGACTCCTAAGAAAATTCCTAGTGCAAGTGCTAAGTGTCATGCTATAGCGTTGGATGATAAACTTACTATGATAAAACGCCATGAAAAAGGGGAAAAGGTTACATCGATTGCTCGATCTTTTGGAATGAGTCAGACAACTGTATCAATGATTGTTCACAATAAGGATAAAATTTTGGCACATATCAAATCTGATGCCCCAGGGATGAAGAATACTGTTATCACTAAGAAAGAGGAAAAATCTTTGAAGTGATGGATCAATTTCTTTCTCTTTGGGTTGATAGGTTAAATCATCAGCGTTTCTGCTATTAGTTAAGAAATCATTCAAGTGAAAGTGTTGTCTTTGTTTGAGGACCTGAACAAAAAATACTCAGATGAGAAAGATGTAGAGTTTAAAGTGAGTCAAAGCTGTTTTATGAGATTTAAAGAATGAAGTAGATATCACTCTATTAAGAAGCAAGATGAAAGTGCATCAGCTGACGAACAAGCAGCAGCCAATTTTCCTAAAGCATTGCTAAGATCGCCGAAGAAACGGGTTTCTAACTGAAGAGATTTACCGTGAGTGGCTCTTGAGCCTTGTAAACATTAATAAAAAATCTGATCCTTTCGTAAATTATCCTATTATAACTAATTTTGTTATGATTTTAAATACACATTTTTATTTATTTTCGCTTGTACTTAAACTTAGTCTTTTTTGGCAATAATTCTAGAAGTAGGGCAACTCTGCATTGAAAACCTGTGGTTTTGGATGTGGTGGGTTGATTTGTTTTTTTACGGCTTATCAACTTTTTGCAGGTTATTTAAAGCCAGAAAATATTCTTTTTAGATTGTAAAACATGTTGGCGATAATAATGATTTTTACTGATACAATTTCTACTAATTAACCCACAGGTGATGGGGGAGAAGATTGGCTAAGATCATCGAAGGAAACGGGTTTCTTCCTGAACAGATTTTTAACGTTGACAAAACTGGATTATATTGGAAAAAAATTGCCAGTCCGTTCTTTCATTGTTAATTTTAAGCATAAGGCTATATGGCTGATAAATTATTTTATTCAAAATACGGTACGTACATATCATAAATACTGTAATATGCAATGGGTATGCTTATTTTCCGTTTATAGTGTGGTTATTTCGACTTAAGTTGTTTTTCGACCTAAGTCGAAACCTCTGAAACAAGTTAACGACGGAGAGTGAGGTATACTTGTATTTTGAAGGTGTTACATAAATAAATGGCAATTGTGCAGGAAAGAATCAATTGGGGAAAATAAATGAAATGATTAGTCTCTTAGCTTTTTGCTAATTTTGCTTCCAACTTACCATATGAGAAACCCATGGTCCAAGAATCTCAAGAATATTCTGAAAGAAACAAAGGAAATATATAGTAAAGCTAAAACAAAAAAATGCTTTTATTATCCTCATATTTGTTGAACCATGGCTAAAAAGAACCACGGTAAAGAAAGATAGAAAGATAGATAGATAGATAGATAGATAGATAGATAGATAGATAGATAGATAGATAATGTACAGTCAGTAATTATTTGATTTAAGAAGTGGGTACAAATGAAAATATCTGATAATAACTTTTTCAGTATCACTGAAACAGAGATTAAACACTTCTTTCTTTCTTTCTTTTTCTCACTGAAACGAAGTAGTGTCTTTTCCCCTCTTTCGGCAAGATCAAAATCAATTATTTATGAGGTATTGGCAGGGCGTAACGATCGTGCAAACTAAGGAAGGGAGGGATAAGTACAATTATAACAGAATAATAATAATTTCTCAGTCGAGACAGATTATGTAAGTGAAGCACGAAAACTCGACCTTAGTTTTTGCTCGATAGATAAAAACAAATATTAAACATAGATATATTCTTTAACAGATAGATAGATAGATAGATAGATAGATAGATAGATAGATATGAACAGACTGAGATAGATAGATAGATAGATAGATATAGATAGATAGATAGATAGATATGAACAGACTGAGATAGGTAGATAGATATGAACAGACTGAGATAGGTAGGTAGATAGATATGAACAGACTGAGATAGATAGATAGATAGATATGAACAGACTGAGATAGATAGATAGATAGATAGATAGATAGATAGATAGATTGCACAAAAATATCTTGAAATACTAAAGGGTAAATTTATACAATAAAATCACCATTGGCTTGAACCACGGCCTCCGGGCAACTGCCGAATCTCCTGTAACTCTTCTGAATAGTCTCCTTGTTGAAGTTGGTGAACACTGCTATAATCCTTACCTTCAGTTCATTTTTGGTGTTACAACGAGTTTTGTGGTTTCTCACTCAATTGCGCCCCACACATAATCAAGGGAGTGCAGTCCGGGACTTTAGGTACCTCAAATGTGGTCGTAGAAATTATCTTACAGCCATGACTGGGTTCTCCTACTTCTTCGGCATGGCGCAGAGACATGTTGCCAGATATAAAGTCTTCCAGCAGCCACCCTCTTGACCCAGGGCAGCACTACCTCCTCAAGGCACTTGATGTAGGCCTCTGTGTTGAGGCTGAGGCCCTGTGGGAAGATGAATGGTGGCATAACGTCGCCATCACTAATGAGCACTCCAAACGTCTTCGTATTCACCATTAGGCTCATCTAACTCTTTCCGTATCTGCTTTGTCCACAGATTGACACCCAAATGTTTTGAAATATTTGTATTGGATTTTCCGGCGCGAATGACAAATTCAAATTTCTGGCGGAGTCAATTGAGTCATGATGGTCTTTTTCTCACAGACGGTGTCCAACTGTGCAGTTGAGAAAAAATAAAATAAAATAAAACGCGCATGCGCGAAATTAAAATTATAAAATGGCGGCAATTTACTCATTGCATCCTGTATATTTGTCGATATGGTGTCTCATGCTGACTTCTCACAAAATGCAACACTGGTGGAATTGAGACTATCCTGATAAATCACAACTTCGCCGGTCATAGTGATATTAAAATAAAAACAAATATTAAATCACAGATATATCCGTTAACAGATAGATAGATAGATAGATAGATATGGCATATAAAATAAGTATATATATATTTAGACATTTTTATGTTTATACATTCTTTTTATAGTTACAAATATTTAAGTAAATGCTCTGTTTACAATAAAAAACAGTATTAAACAACATTTACCGGCCTGAATGTCCAAGAAATTTTCATAGAAAATATTCGAACCTACATCCTATACGGAACCGTGATATAGCCTGACGTGCCTTAACGCTCGGCCACAAAGGCTATATGACGGTTCCGAAATATACTATTATTCGAATCCTGTCGAAGGACGAATATCTGAATGAAAATTTCTCGTTTATTCGGGCCCGTAACTGTTGTTTAATACTGTTAATATAAACAGAGCATTTACCGGATTTTATCTATAAAAAGAATGTTAAAATTAAAATTATTTAACGGTATATATATATATATATATATAGGAATTTTTGGATACGATTAAGCACGTCATTTAAACAAAACGGGTTTAAAAGACAGTTATAAATATAGGATACAGATTCACCTAGCTCTCGGTTTTTCGAATTTTTTTCTATAAAAATTTCTCAAACATTCAGGCCAGTAAATAGGTTGTTTAATACTGATGGGTTTTATTATAAATATAGCATTTACTTAAATATTTGTATCTCAAAAAAAAATACCCGCTCGGAAAATAAAAAGGATCAAAGTGTATATCTGTGCTTTTTTAGCTGCCGAAAGCTTGCAAAATTCTTTTTGTGGTGTCTCATTCGGTGCCAATTCTCTGCTTGCAGAGAGAACCTGACGGGCTCCGCCGAAAGGTAGAGGGTACAGCATTTCGTTCAAGGGAGGTTGACGGAACTAGCCCCTTGGATGAAGAACAAAAAAAATTTGATGGGTTTAGATATTTTTATTTTTGGCTGGGCCTACGGGCTCGGACGGAATAGCCCCATGGAAAAAAAGGCATACGGGCCAGACATTCAATTCCTGTGGGTGAATTGATAAATACCATCTCAAAAAAAAAATACCCGGTGGCTAGGATCAAAGTGCTAGTAGTATCTGTGCTTTTGAGGCTAATATTCCGAGCCGATTGTCTGTCGATAGCTCTGAAAAGAGAGGAACCCCTGATTAGGCTCCGCCAATTCAAGAAATTAAAAGGGTATTAGATAAGTAGGTTTCGTTCGGGAAAATAGGTTTCAAACTAGCTGTCTATTTATTTAATTTGACGGGTTTAGATGGGGTTTTATTGTCTTTATTTTGGCTGGGCCTACGATCCAGGCTCGGACATACCCACATTAAAAAGGCCTTGTGCCATTGAACATTCTACCAAAAATTCCTGTGGGTGAATTGATAAATACCATCTCAAAAAAGAATAGCCGCTCGGCCCGGTGGCTAGGATCAAAATGTAGTATCTGCGCTTTGTGGGCTGCCGGGTCGGGTGTCTGTCGAAATTTCTGCTTGCAGAGGAACCCGGACGAAGCTCTGCCGAATAAGGGTTTCGTTCGGGGAGGTTGACAGAACTAGCCCGCTTGGACGGGTTTAGATGGGTTTTTTTTTGGCTGGGCCTACGGGCTCGGACATACCCACATTAAAAAGGCCTTGTGCCACATTCAATTCCTGTGGGTGAATTGATAAATACCATCTCAAAAAGAATACCCGCTCGGCCCGGTGGCTAGGATCAAAGTGTAGTATCTGTGCTTTGTGAGCTGCCGAGCCGGGTGTCTGTCGAAGTCTCTGCTTGCAGAGAAAAACCCTGACGAGGCTCCGCCGAAAACAGGGTTTCGTTCAGGGAGGTTGACGGAACTAGCCCGCTTGGACGGGTTTAGATGGGTTTTATTTTTTGGCTGGGCCTACGGGCTCGGACATACCCACATTAAAAAGGCCTTGTGCCACATTCAATTCCTGTGGGTGAATTGATAAATACCATCAAAAAAAAGAATACCCGCTCGGCCCGGTGGCTAGGATCAAAGTGTAGTATCTGTGCTTTGTGAGCTGCCAGGCCGGGTGTCTGTCTTTGTCTCTGCTTGCAGAGAGGAACCCTGACGAGGCTCCGCCGAAGGGTAGGGGTTTCGTTCGGGGAGGTTGACGGAACTAGCCCGCTTGGACGGGTTTAGATGGGTTTTTATTTTTGGCTGGGCCTACGGGCTCGGACATACCCACATTAAAAAGGCCTTGTGCCACATTCAATTCCTGTGGGTGAATTGATAAATACCATCTCAAAAAAGAATACCCGCTCGGCCCGGTGGCTAGGATCAAAGTGTAGTATCTGTGCTTTGTGAGCTGCCGAGCCGGGTGTCTGTCGAACTCTCTGCTTGCAGAGAGGAACCCGGACGAGTCTCCGCCGAAGGGTGGGGTTTCGTTCGGGGAGGTTGACGGAACTAGCCCGCTTGGACGGGTTTAGATGGGTTTTATTTTTGGCTGGGCCTACGGGCTCGGACATACCCACATTAAAAAGGCCTTGTGCCACATTCAATTCCTGTGGGTGAATTGATAAATACCATCTCTAAAAAGAATACCCGCTCGGCCCGGTGGCTAGGATCAAAGTGTAGTATCTGTGCTTTGTGAGCTGCCGAGCCGGGTGTCTGTCGAACTCTCTGCTTGCAGAGAGGAACCCGGACGAGTCTCCGCCGAAGGGTGGGGTTTCGTTCGGGGGAGGTTAACAGAACTTGCCCGCTTGGACGGGTTTAGATGGGTTTATTTTTGGCTGGGCCTACGGGCTCGGACATACCCACATTAAAAAGGCCTTGTGCCACATTCAATTCCTGTGGGTGAATTGATAAATACCATCTCTAAAAAGAATACCCGCTCGGCCCGGTGGCTAGGATCAAAGTGTAGTATCTGTGCTTTGTGAGCTGCCGAGCCGGGTGTCTGTCGAACTCTCTGCTTGCAGAGAGGAACCCTGACGAAGCTCCGCCGAAGGGTAGGGTTTCGTTCGGGGAGGTTGACGGAACTAGCCCGCTTGGACGGATTTAGATGGGTTTTATTTTTGGCTGGGCCTACGGGCTCGGACATACCCACATTAAAAAGGCCTTGTGCCACATTCAATTTCTGTGGGTGAATTGATAAATACCATCTATAAAAAGAATGTATAAACATAAAAATGTCTTTAAATAATTGTCGGACTTCGTCCATTTCATAATGTGAAACGTAGATATGTATAAAGATAAGCATATAAACAGACGGAGATAGATAGATAGATAGTTAGATAGATAGATAGATAGATAGATAGATAGATATGAACCGAGGAAGAAAGAAAGAAAGAAACAAACAAACAAACTAACAAACAAAGAAGCAAACTATATTAACCATAAGGTTTATATCGTCTATCTTCCCTCAGTTACATGATCT